CAGTTGGGAATGTTTCTGGACTAGCTCGTTGTGCTACTGTTTATAGTGTACGTGTACTAGACTGCAATGGCAGAGGACCTTACAGTGTTATAATAGACGGACTCAACTATGCAGCTATAAGAATTAAAGACTCTAACAGACCAGCTGTGATTGTAATGTCACTGGGTGGATCTTTCTCCTCTTCTCTTAATCAAGTAGTCTCTAATGTGGTCAATCAAGGAATACCTGTAGTTACATCTGCTGGTAATAATCGTGGTAATGCCTGCTCTAGGTCACCTGCTAGCAATCCTGGGGCTATAACAGTCGGTAGCACTTTAATAGGAGACTATATTAACTTTAATACTAATGCTGGACCCTGTGTGGATATATTTGCTCCTGGAGCATATGTGACTGCTGCTAGTCATACTTGTTCTACTTGTTCGTGTACTAAAGTTGTAAGTGGTACATCAATGGCTGCTGCTCTTGTCACTGGTGCTGTCGCATTACTACTGGAGAAGGAGCCTTTATCCTCTCCTGACAGTATTGCAGATGAATTGAAATACAACTGCCTTAAAAATACTATCAATTTAATTTTCTTGGATCCTTCTTATAAAAGCAACACAAATAATTGCTTCCTTCACATTAAAAAATGTAAGTTCTTCATTCTTCTAAAGATAAATATGTATCATTATTATTATAGGCACTGATGTATGTGACATTACTCCAACTAGTACCAGCATCATGACACGTACTAGACCTTCAATATATGTCACTACTGCAGAACACACTACATTCTCAACTGCAATCACTACCATTGCGAAAAGTACTACCTTAACATGTGCTACTACCTCAACCAACACTGTCACTGTGACAGATGATGCTACCCTAATATGTAATTCAACTTCAACACATCATGCTACTAAAATACATAATTCTACTTCAACGCACCATATTACGACAACCTATCATACTACTGCAACCCGTTATACCAGTTCAATATGTAATACTACCTCAACACATCACATAAC